GACTTTTATCATATTATCGGAACCGATATATCTTGTTGAGTTTGAACTCCTAGTCAATTACACTCTGACATATAAGTCTAGCTAATGATCTCTCTTCATATAGCCAATTGATTTTAGGATGAAACCTTCATGAACTTGTGTTGCACTCACACGTTATGATTGGCTTATCAAAGCATACACAGACACTTATGTATTTGTCATTGGCTTACCTGATTTTTTTATCAATTTGTGGTCCCCTTATTTTAATATTAATATTAATTCAATTGTGTAGGAGGGTTATATTGAAATAAGACTAGCTATAAAAGACACCAAAGTTTAAATTTCAAAGAAAATATAATGTGGTTAATTATATTTGTTGGGCGAAATAATCAACGTACATCTGATATATATTCTTCATGTTAGATAATGATGATTGAGGTGTTTGAAATTTGACCAACAGTTGATATCGTTGAGCGACTTTAGGAGTTAAATTAATTGAGTTAAAGACTTAGGCCCCGTTTGGTACACGGAATTCAAATTGTGGAATTGGAATTGAGGACTTCAATTCCAATTTTGGTGTTTGGTAGCACAAAAATTATGTGAATTTGGAATTTGTAGTGGAAAAAATGAATTAGAATTGATGAATTCAATTCTATGGAATTGGATACTAGAAAATTTCAATTCCAATTAAATTCTAATTCCATCAATTCCGTATCCCAAACGGACCCTTAACACTTAAATGGGGTTTGATTTATTTTACTTTAAATTATCCATCCTAATAACAAATTATTTACAAGTATTTTCATATTACTATTATGATTACTATTACTATTATTATTGTTGTTTTTTTTACTGTTAAAATAAATGTATGAAATGAGTACTATATAACTTGTAAATCAACATCATTAATCAGATTTATAATATAGAGACTCTCTAATTTGCTCACATTTGGTTTTTGTACAATTTTTATCGAGCGATTCTTTAATAACATACTGGTATAATTGTCTTTGTTACCTTATTTAAATAAATATAAAAATATGAAATTTAAATTATAACTAGATATTATTTTAAAAAATAATATATGATTATGAGAGTGACAAAAAAATAAACTAATACAATAATTTTAGAACAGAATTAAGGAATAGATAAATACAATGTGAGCGAGGCAACTGCGGAGACTCGTAACCAATATGCATTATTATCACTTCACAAAATGTATAAACATGTTTATCAACTCCGGACTATGTGCTTTTCTATAAATTATTCATCCAAGACTCCCTCCTTTTTTTGAATAAAAATTACGTTACACTTTATATTATTTTTTTTTAAAAAATATAAGTTAAAAAATACTCCGTAAAAATTATGGAATATATATAAGGTTTGGTTACCGTCGATAAAAATATCATAAATCATTCATTTCTTTCTTTTTATGTGGATGTGATAGAAATAAGAAGTAAGAAGTTTTGGTACAATCTTGTACCAAAAAACACTCTTAATTATCGGTACATATCGTTCACGAAATTGCCATGAAAAAATCTAATCCCTCCGTTCCACAAAACCCTTCCGGTTTTGACTTTGGGGAAAAATAAGGAAAGTATAATTTTTGGTTGACTTTCCCATTTTGCCCCTGGTGTGATGGGAAAAAGTAAGATGTGATAGTTTGGTTATTAGTGAAAAAGTATGATGTGATATGTAGGGTTTGAAAAAGTATGGGTAAAAGTGGTTTTTTAATAGAAAGTAGAAGTGTTTTGTGGAAAGCAAAAAAACGAAAAAAGAAGATTTTTGTGGAACGGAGGGAGTACAAGATTGCTTTAATTTGAAGGAAAGTTACTTTAATTTGCAAGACACGATGTACAATCTTTAATTTACAAAAAAAGATAGAAGGCCACCTCCCTTTGTTTCAGTAACGTTCTCTCAATTTTGAACAGGACAGTTATATATACAGAGTATAAGAAAGATAAAAATGAATTTTTAATTTCAAGCAAGCAATAGAGAATACTCCCCCGTCCCAAAAAGATATTCCTGTTTCATTTTTTGCGCGTCTCATAAAACACTTCTATCCCGCCTCAAATGCAAAAAAAAAAACTTTCAAAACAACTTCTACTTACAATAAATGAGAAATGTGGTAAATTTTAGGCATTTTAGATGTGTATAGAAGTGTTTTATAGGATGCGCAAAAAATGAAACAGGAAGATCTTTTTGGGACGGAGGGAGTATATAATATGTCTCAACAAGCATATTTATGCATAACATAAAATATCTCACACTACCTTCCTAAGGAGTCAAACACGGTCACAATATCCTTTTGCACCTAGATTGACCACTTCAGCTCTGTTCCGACTTCCAAGCAAAAAAATTTAATACGCAATTTTTGCAATTTTATTTTTTACTTTCCTATCAAGAGTAAACTTGTCTATTTTGTATTTAAAAAAAAACAAAACTGTTATTATATGTTTTCTTCTACTTTTTTGGACATTTTTCAAACAATTTAATTTCGTTAGATGTGAAATATTACTGTTCCATGTCACAGCGTTCGATCGTCTTAGGGTGAGAATAGGGGGTTCATTGCAAGACCAAGTGTTGTACGAGGTTGGCTATGGAGTCAAAGACTGCCCTGGTTTCAATCGAACCGACAATGGCTTGTTTGGCTTCTCCGGCGGTTGCCTTTCCATGGAGAGATGGGATGAGTTGCACCATCTTTTCAACCAAACGGGGTACAATATAATCACTAGTTACTTCAATTTCTTTTACTCCTTCGGTCCTTAGAAGATTGTCACAGTTTGACTTCTTGTGTCTAACTGTGACATCCTTTAATCATAAATTAAATATAGTTTAAAATGATTTAAACATTATAACAATATGACATTTCAAAACTATATTTACCAATAAACCTAATTTTACTAAATATATGTTTTCGATAATTTGTGATCAAAAGGTAGCACGGTTTAACCAAACAAGTCAAATTGTGACAATTTGGACAAATTATATTTGAGGTCATTTTGACGTTTTCATGAAGCGCAGGGCTGTAATGACTTTCGGGTTGAACGCTCTATTTGGAAGGAAAAAGTCGAAAGACGATAATGCCCTTTGGGTGGGTGATTGGGACTCCCAAAATGCAAGGGACCTTATGGAGTACACTTTTTCAAAGGGATATAAAGTTGATTCATATGAACTTGGTAAGAAGAACCACCCATTTTTACCCCTTCCACTTTTGTAAGTCATATGGCAAAATAGTTTAATCTATTGATTTTTTTAGATTAAGATGTTTGGTTACATTTATATATGTCAATTTAATAACCAAGTACTTACTAAAAAATGTTGTTGGTGAGCATAACACAACTGGTTGATATCAGGGGTCACTGGAGGTAAATTTGAGTTTGAACCGTGGCAATTACACGAAGTTGTAAGCCTATTGTGATATTTTGTGTAGGGAATGAGTTGTGCGGAAGCGGGGTGGGTGCAAGAGTAGAAGCCGACCAATATGGAAAAGATATGTTGACTCTTAAAAAAGTCGTAGAAGAGATTCACCCAAACCCAAGCACCCGACCGAAGGTCTTGGGCCCGGGTGGATTTTATGACGAGAAATGGTTCAATACCTTCCTCCAAACCTCGGGTCCCAATGTTGTTGATGGTTTGACACACCATATCTACAATCTTGGTTCAGGTTTGTAATGCAACAACTCGCAATAATTTTATGAAAACTTGTGTCATGAGATTAAGAAGTTATCCGACCTTGTAGGAGACGACAAAACTCTGATCAACAAAGTTCAAGATCCGTACTATCTCGATCAAGTTGCACAGACATTCAAGGACGTCACTACAGGCATCCAAAGCTTCGGTCCGTGGACCGAAGCTTGGGTGGGAGAAGCCGGCGGTGCTTACAATAGTGGTGGCAAAGATGTTTCACATTACTTTGCTGATGGCTTTTGGTAAAATCCTTTTTTTCAATTCAGTTGCATAGGTGTAAGTATAACCAAATGAAACTATTGTAACCTTTTTTATTACATAGGTACTTGGATCAATTGGGGATGACATCAACTTTTAACCACAAAGTGTATTGCAGACAAGCCTTGATTGGGGGAAACTATGCCCTTCTCAACACCACAACTTTCATCCCCAATCCAGATTACTATGGTGCCCTCTTGTGGAACAAGTTGATGGGGAAGATAGTTTTGGGGGTGTCCCATGATAGTTCCCCGTACCTTCGCGCCTACGCCCATTGCTCTAGGCACGGGGTAAGCTCAAATAGAATATACTTCCTTCATTCCACATTAACTCTTTCTATTAAGGATTATTAGATACATTAGATTTTGAATGAATGTAAACTTAAATATGTCTACATTCACTCAAAACATAGTGTACGGAGTATCTAATTAACTTTAATAGACAGTTATTGTGGAAGAGAGGGAATCAAAATCAATTAACAATGATTTTAGCTAATTAGAGGGCCATAAAAGTTGTCATTTCTGGTTTTGTAAGACCATACCTTCATCTGATTTTCTTGTGCCAATCAATTTGTTGTGTTAATTAACTTAACTAATTTTTTCGATCATTTCAGAGCGGGGTTACAGTACTTTTGATAAATATGTCAAACTCCACAACCTTTGAGGTGTACGCGAGAGATGATTTGAACCTGTACCCGGGGAATCAAGCGAGTCTCCAGAGCGTTGACAACGAGCCTGAGAGGGAAGAGTACCATTTGAGCCCGGATGGCGGGAACATCCAAACCGACGTCGTTTTGCTAAACGGAACTCCATTGAAGATCACAAGAGAGTTTGACATTCCTGCTTTGAACCCAAAGCTGGTGGATCCTGCTTTGCCAATCACTGTTCAACCTGACTCCATTGTCTTTGCCACCCTCAAAGGCTTTAGGGCACCTGCTTGTGCTTAGGACACTGCACCCACCTTACTATTCTTAATTAGGTTTTAGTCCTTTCTTGGTAGTATGAACCATTAGATGTTGTTAAATCTTTTTTTTTTGGGATGATTAGAAAGCTATTTAGCATGAGGAAACATTTAATCCTAGTTGGTTTCTTTTAATTATAGATAATTATATCATGTTTTCTGTTTGCTTACATTCTAAATTCTAATTGCTCTCAGAGGGTGGTTGGAAATGTTATATAGAACAACACATAATTCTAATTGTTGATGTTACAAAGGTTTTATTGCAAAGTTTAAATACAAACGCATTTCTAAGGTATATGACACTCACTCACTCAGCTGCTGATCTCCTTCACCAGCCAATCCAGAGTCGGGTACGCGAAATACACAACCAGCGCCGCGGGGACGGCGAAGACGACGGTGATAGCCAAGTAGGCAATGAGAATGGCAGCGCTGGAAGGGATGGCAAATATGACCATGAAAACAAGCACGACCACGAGCGGGAACCTGGATGTGAAACGGATGAAGAAGTCGATTGATTTGTGGATGGAGAATTCCGGTCGTCTCCGGGGGGAATCGCCGCTGCCGTTCCCGAGGCGGCAGTTTCCGTTACCGGTGCCGAGTGCCGAATGGCCGGCGGTGGTGTTGTTCATGCGCGATGGGAGGTGATAGGTGCATGTGTGGGACCGGAACCGGTCCCCGTTTCGGCTCTCCACCATCCAGAGGAGGAAGAAGTTCTTGTTGGGGGCTTTAAGGTTCCCGCGGAAAATGAGCCGAAGGGTCAGCAGATTGCACCAAGGGCATGAGACGAAGAGCGGGACCCGGATTCGATGCACGGAGATGTTGAGAGAAGCCCATTTGAGTCCCAAGAGACAATTCTTGCATATGGTGTGTCCACACCATAACACATAGGGAACATTCTCCACTATGTTGAAGGACTCCCAACATATAGGGCATTCTAAAGCCTCCTCATTGGAGGACACATCGTCGTCATCTTCTTCGTCTGAGAACTGGTTACATGTACGCCTCGGCTCAACTGCACCCTTCTTCCTTCCAATGCTTGTGATGGCATTCCAAATAGACCTCCACATAACGATAGAAGAGAGCAAACCAAACACTGTTTTCTCAAGGTTTCATAAATCCGTTTTCGTTCCTGTTTGGTTAACCCCAGGGCTTATAATGATTCCTGCTCAAACACTTCCATCTTTTGCAAGCCTGAAATTTAAGAGTTGGATTGGACTATACTCTAAGGGCAATGTTAGAGGTACACCAAAATGAGGTACCCCATTTGTACATCAAGTAAAAACAGACACACACAAACGCTCAATAACTATGTGTGTCTGTTGTTTTTGTTTGGTGTACAAATGAGGTACTTTATTTTGGGACGGGGGATCCCTTGATGAATAGGTAGGGCCCCAGATATTGGGGGCAAAGTAACATTTTGTTTAAGCATATAATCCTGATCTAAGCACCTCATAACTTGATTAATGATCTAGACTCTTAAAATCAATCAAAGAGAACCAAAATACTGTACATCAAAGAGACATCTCTGCAAAAAAAATCAAAAATTCACTCATTAAAACATTGAAAAAAGCCTAAATCTGCAGAAATTCAGAATTAGATTTATATACTTTTTAAAAAAAAAATCCCAGCAAACAGATTGTTAACAATCTTCATATCAGATGCAGATATACAATGCACGCAGCAAGAATCGACATATCAGCGACGCCTAATTCCCTGATTGTTCTCTCCGAACAGAGGGAATGAAATTCGGAGAAGAAAACATGAACGATTATACATTGGATTTGCAAATTTGTTTGAAATTATTTTGGCAAAGTGTGAAGAAACTTACAGTGATTTCCAGAATAATGAGGAAGAGAAATCAAGAGATAGAGAGAGATGAGAAATGGTTGCGGTGCTCTCCTCACCGTCTCAAGCCTCGAAGACAACGAGAGCATATGTGTGAAGCTTTCTTCAATGTCTCTAGAAACTGTTAGTGCTTTTTCTAGAGTAATATAAATAGGGATTATGTTTTTTTAATTTTTGAATGGAAATAGAGAGTTTTAGAAAACAAAATCCTTCAAAATTCATGCTTTATCCAAATTTGGGAAAAATATTAAGAAACTCATTTTCCAAAAACCAAAAGTCATTTGCTTTATTTCCAACAAATTGCATGTTTTCAAGTGCTTTTTGTGTATAAGTTTCAATTATGAAATCGGTAACCTATAATTTGAACGCTAGAATTAATACATGAACCTTGTAATAAATCATATTGAAAATTGTATTCGACGATACAATTTTTATGAAATTGCCTGTATAATAATATATTTTCTTCATTGGTGAAACTGGTAATCAACAATGTGAACTTCAGAATTACGGAGTAATGTTGAAACCTGTGTTAAAACATATTCTCTTCGTCCCTACATAGTACGCACACTTGTATCGGTAAGTGTTAACATCGTACATTAGAGCCACCAAAACATGTAAGATGGAGTTAATGCCACGGTGATGACAGTGGATGTAGACAGATTCTTTTCTGGTAGAGTCGAGGATGCAAAAGAGGTGTGCATTTTGTCTAACTTTTCTTTAGTGATGGATGAACTCAGCGTCATATTCAAGCATATCATCTTGGTGCATGTTATTTGCGAGTGATATTGTATCGATTAGTGAAACGTGTAAAAAGGAAGGTAATGGATTGTCACAGATTAAAAGTGTGTAGAGTTACACAGATTCTGTAAGCATACATGAAATACAATTTACATGATGTTGTGTGGTGAGTTTGCCGTGTTATGTGGTGAGCTTGACGTCATCTCACTAATCCTCTCAGACCATTACTACTACTATTGAACCAAACGCGCCCTTAACTTTATAGCTCCCTTCCCTTCCCCCCTGCCCACCCAAATCCGAGAACTCCGAGGGGGATGATGGGCTGTCTATTGTGGGCCTTGCCGCCGAGCCCACTCATCTCACCGTGGACACAGTCTACTCACAAACCTCCGCGGCATCAGCAAAACAACATAGTCGCCGCCAATCGGTCCTCTCGATCACCGCCGCAACAGAAGAATCAAATCTCTCGCAAATCCGTCGTCTCTGCGGCCATCGCCGTCTTGCTATTCACTCCACCCGGTAACCATATTTTTACCGACTCCATTATTCACCTTCAATTCCATTGCAGGAATATAGTCTTCTCGTCCTGTCGGGTGCGGATATGAGTGACCATTTTAGCATATGGGCGGGTGCAGTTAATGCAGGATTGCTGTCGGGTTTTGGTGGGATGGAATCAATCCACGGGCCAGATTTACCTCAAATTGATTTCCTCAATCGCTTGAACGGTATGTGGTTTGTTAATTGTACCAATGCAATTGCCCCCTTTTTTTCAATATGATATGATATTTACCAAAATAATTATATTAATAATACTAATTCAGAAGAAAACCAGAAAAGGTATGCAGATGATGATGCCAGATTCAAAGAGTCTCCATTGCTTAAACAGCTGCTTGAGAAATCCAAGCTAAATAAAGAGAAGTATTCTTTCTTCATTGCCTAATTGTATACTAATATATGATCTCTATCGTCTAGTACGGGTAATGTCCGCATACATACTCCCTCCCCAAAGACTTTCTTTTCCCGGGATTTTACCGAGTTGTTGTATCTTCTAGATTTGTCGGGTATTTTTGGATATAGGAAAATGCTAGGGAAAGGAAAACATAAGTTGAGGGAAGTAATTGTGTTGTTGTTGGTTCTACTACAAAAAAAAATGCATTTGAAAGTGAAATTTGATTTTTTTTCCATATCTTGGTCTTTATAGTAGTAGTTTCCTCCGTGTTTTCTTTCGCTAGACCCATAATGTATCGTCCATCTGGATTATCACCTAGCTTCTAATGAAATAACATGTCAGCGAGATCGGCGACTCTTAGGTTCCGTTTGGATGAGTGCTTTGGAATGTGTTTGGAGGGAGAGGTTATGAAAGGTGCAGTCCATATCTTGATGATAAAAATGTTACTCCGTATTCAAAACGAACATATTTGTGACCAAAATGCTTTACGACCACCTATCGTGTCTGCCTTTCAATTTTTTACGTAGTATTAAATTTCAAATACTATACATTAAGATAAGCTCTTTACAGCTTCCCCTAACCCATCCATCCAAACATAACTTATGGTGCGTTGGTGGAGGGTTTTGAGTCGTTATATGATCTCTTATTTTGTGTTTGCCTTCATGTACTATTTACAACAGATTAGCCACATAGGATGAATGAAATTTTTAAATGGGTATGAACTATCACTCTCTTCATTCCCACAAAGATAGACTTTAATGTAATTGTGATGGGGTTAAGATATACCATCTCCTTCCGGATTTAGTTGTCCACCTCTCCTTTGTTGGACATCTATATTAGTTCTCCTTCGTTGTTGTTGTTGTTGATACTCCTAAATGGCAAAGTTTATATCAACGAAGATAAGTTAGCTTCAAGGATGTCTTTTGTTGTTTTACATTCATTCCTTAAATTTGAATTGTTTTGTGAAAGTGGATGACTAAATCTGGACGGATGAAGTAGTTGGAGTAGTTAATTTCATGTGGGATTCTTAACTTTTCCATTTTGTGAAGTTGATTCATGAATTACACCAATTACTTATATCTTGGAGTCCTTGAAAAGAAAAATTAAATAAAGGTAAACTTGGAAATACTACTCATAAAATTAAATGCACGCCTAGCAAGATAATAAAATTACATTTTCTTTTGCTATGTCCTATGTTTGTGATGTTGGATTCAGAAACCGACGGGCGATACAAGACAAGTATTGTATCCGTGGGGCCGAGTGGGGAATCGGGGATTGCTCTACCGCGGGGATGTCACAGGAAGACAGGGAAAACTTCATTTCTGCGTTGAAGCAGAAGGCGGGAGTAGTCGACTAAAGAACATCAGTTTTCACATATTAGTTCGCCGAGGTCTTTTGGGCCTAATGAGGTAACAAAAATCTTGCTTTGCAATAGGTTTTCCTTTATTTCTTATGGATATTCAACTGTTTTTTTAAGAACAGTTCTAATTTTTGAGTTTTTCACATTATTTGCAGGGAATCCCTTATTCCAAGAATGGTGCAAACTACTGCAAAACCCATTTTTAGAATGGTGTCTGCTATTTATTTGTAAATAGCAAAGATTTTTATGTGGTACACAACTGCTACTACATGATATCAACCTGCTTTGGTGTTTGTTGTTTTCTCTTACATTCACCTCTTAATGATGTTCTTATTCCTTGGGGACACTTCTTTCCACATTAAGAGCCTTAATTAGCCCTTTCTGGCTACTGCATGGTGTTCATGCCTTTTAAAGTGTACTCCCTCTGTCCCAATGTATCCGTCTAGTTTGACTTTTTTTGAGTCAAATTGGACAAATTTTAATCATCAATTAGTCTCAATTTATAGTGAATATTAGCATAACGAAATAAAATTTTAATAGTTCTCAACAAGATAAATTTAATGAATGTATTTTTTTACACTGATATAAATTGTAATCATTTTTTTTTGTGGTCTAATTTTTCTCAATTTGTTTCGAAAAAGTCGAACTGAACGAATATACCGGGATATAGATTCTTATAAATTATCATTACCATGGACCGTGGTGTGTGGTAGACTGGTGGTGATTGGTCAAGATGTATGCAATCTAGAACCATAAATCTATTTTTTTTTACATATAATCCACCAATGATGGATTATGGAATAATTTTCAAATATCAAGAACCATGAATTTAGCATTTTAAAATTGAGCCAAATCTATATATTTTCATTTTGAAATATAGTTTTGAGAAATGTCATACTCAAGTATTTTTATAATTTATGTTTATATGTAAATAAAGATATTAATATTCTAAGCATTACAATAGAGATTGAGAAAAATCAAACAAAAGGAAAATATAAGCGAGGGAAATATAATTTTAGTATGACATATAAAAAGTGAAATATGTTCCTCGACTAAATTAGACTTTAATCGTAGATTGATCGTAAGGAGTGAAACATGCACCTGATATAAGCATTCTACTTTTGGTACTTTATATCTTTGCCAACTGTGCAACACATACTCGCTTACGGACATTTTATATCTTTTCTCCATCATCACCAAGGTTCCCATGACATTGGAAACCAATGTCATGAGATGACCCGGGGGCAAAATTTGACTCCAAAGTCAGAATCAACTTGTGGGGTGCAATTGAAGGGGGTGGAGGGGTGTTCGGGTCGGGGCAGGATGAGGGGTTTATCGGAAAAGTTAGGGGATAGGAACCATCAATTTTACGAACGGGCCATCGGAACGCCCTCGAATCATTCCATGACATTGGCTCCCAATGTCATGGGAACCTTACCCATGTATCATTTAAGTTATGTGCAGTGTTAAAAAATGTTTGTTGCTACTTTGGAAAGTTTGGGACCTTTTTCTCCCCAATGAATTTAACATAAAATAATTTGTTGTACTCCGTATGTGTCACCTCACCTACTATCATAATGTATCTGTCAATGGCATTTCACCACAAAATAAAAAACTGCCAATGAATGAAGGGGATATCCGAATCAGACAAATTGATCCGATTTTTGAATATTGGAAGGAGATTATTGAATGTCCATTCATTTTTCTTTAGTTTATTACGGGTAACAATTATGGATCATAACCATTCTAAGTTCTAACAATATGAGATTTTTGAAAAAGATGGAACGTTTATTTTGGACGTCACCACACCCCGCTCCATGCATACAAAAAGGTGAAAAAGCTAATACAAAGAATAGTTTTCCTATTGTTGATCGACATTAGAATCTATGACTTGACATCCTTTTCTTGAACAAGTTAAGCTATCAATGCGGGCACTATGTCAGATTATTCAGGTAGATATATATTTTGTATAATGAACCAAACTTTTATAGAATTATTAATAATAATTACACCTTATAATTTTTAAAAATATTTATTTTATGTAATTATTTTTATTGCAGAGTATAAAAACTTGTTATATCGAAAAAACACACTTTTCATTAATTACATATGGTCTAATAATAATAAATATTTTCTAAAAATTAAAAAAAAAACTAATTGCAATTTTATTTTAAACAATATTTCAGCTGTTCCAAGCCACAGCTCAACTCCATTCCCCTCCCGGAACAGAAATTTTTAGTTTCGTCCGATCGTCCCCTTGGGAAATCACGACGCCTCTGTCGCCTGATCCCTTCTCCAACTCCCCGCCGTCGCCACTCGCCGATCTGCCTCAATCGCAAGCCCAATACCGACGGCGAGTTGGCGATTCGCGAGGAGCCGAACTGCCGATCCCGAACACTTCTCCGGCGTCGAATCCCCTCCGAGTGAGGTACTCAGGTATGAGTAGCCTATTATATTACTCCATTTGGTATGATTCTCATTTCTCAATTTAGCTGTGATTAGAGTCCGATTGACCCCTCTTAGCTAAACCATGCCGCCGGTTTTGGGACTTTTTTTTTCATTTCTCATTGATTCATAGTTTCAAAGGTAATACTCTAGTTTATAATTAGTATTTTAATGCAGCGTACCGTATAGCTTATGCTATGCTGGAGTTTTATATGTTTAAGAATTGAAAGTTAATATTCTTGTAGATTGTGTGTAACCGAATACTTACATGAATATTTGATCGAATTTCTAATATGCCGAGGTGAATTGTTAGCAAAAGTATTAAGTGCCAGTATAATCCCAAACCAAATGCTAAGTATTAGGAACAGCGTTTTGAACCAAACGAGCCATTAATGATTGGAAAACACAAAGTAGAAATTATTGGCGAACACAATAAATAATACCGAGTAAGTTAAATATTTCACGAATTACCCACCCAGGTTCCATAGACAACCATCTTCTTCCGCCATATCTCAGCTCAATATCCTCATGGATCTAAATTGCAGGTGCTTGCCAGTATTATAATGTGTTTTGTGAATAATAATATTATACTACGTAATATTTAAATACGTAGTTAATTTACACAATCGATTCAACTTTCACGGAATCTACAACAAACCCAATGTAATGCCAACTTCGTTGGGGTGTGGGATTCAAACTTTAGGCAACATTACCCCTTTAAAAAAAAGAAATGTTTCTGGTACACTCTATATGCATTTATGCATTGATGCTTTACTTTCCAAAACTTCATAGAGAGTAACAAACAAGGGAAATTTAATGTGCCTTTTTCTATGTAGTCCATCATTTATCCAAAGCTAAAACATTGCCCACTCATTTTCATAGAATCTCTTTTTTATATATTAAGGACACTTTTGCTAAGGGTTTAATAGCATTTTCTGCCTGTGTTTTTGTCCCTATGTAGCTTTGGATATAATTTTGATGTCTCCAACATCGTTTTCATTTACAATTAAGAGATTTGAGCTGCTTTATGCACATTCTTGATTAAAAGAAGACTATTATTGCGCTCAAAGAAGCGTAGAAGAGATATGTATAGGCAAGTGGCTGCAACCGCCACCCATGGTGGAGTACCTACGGATAGTGGAGATTCAGTGGTGACACTAGATCAAGTTCCCCGTTGGATTGATGCTGAGCATAGGTACTTGTACGAGAACGATGATCCCGGTTTCCCTAATTCATATTTCCCAGATCCTTTGGCCTCTACTTCTGGGACTGAGAATAATGGAAATGGTGTCCTTTCCAAGTTTCCGGTGGATCATGAGGTGAATTCCAAGATCTATTTGTGGAGAGGGGACCCTTGGTATCTTGAGGTGGATGCTGTAGTTAACTCAACCAATGAGGTGAGCATCAATATTCAATAAATTATTTTAACTTTCACAATTTATCAATATTTACTGCTGCCTTTAATGGCACATACATCCTTCTGATGATCTATAATATCTTTTCATTTGTTGTCTATAGAACTTGGATGAAGCCCACAGCAGCCCTGGTCTGCATGCTGCAGCTGGACCTGGTCTTGCTGAAGAATGTGCGACACTGGTAAGATGCCAAACACACACTTTCATGTCTCTAGTAAATGTAGCAACTTAGAAGGGTACATTTTCATATAAGGCTCAAGACTTTTTTTTAGCATTCTTGACATATGACTGGTTTTATGTTAATTTTAACCGGTTCTTTTTTTAAAAAGTTTTTGGGAATATGTGGTTTTACAATGTTGAAATGTTAGATTGACTTTCCTTCTTAGGGTGGCTGCAGAACAGGAATGGCAAAAGTTACTAAAGCATATGATCTTCCAGCTAGGTGAGTAGTCTTTTTCTAGATGCTTCCCATAAAAATATTTGTATTCACTCAATATTAAGAATTTCTTTGCAGCTAAGTATTAGTGCTACTGTACAGCCACATGTTATGATCACTAAACATAATTTCCAATTCTCATGTCAGTGAGTTTGCTTGCATTCATTTGTTTTTCCAATGCTACAAAATCTGTACTCCGTACTATTATGCACATAACCCTAACATAGAAGTGATAGAACAAAAGAAAACAGAGTAACTCCCACCCCCACCTCATCGGCTCCTCCACACACGCGCACACATATTCAAAGGAAAAGTCCAAGGACAAGATTAAGGAGCTAATATCATCACATTATTCCACCTATATTTCTTTAAACTGTTAGTTTATTACCACCAATATTTTATGCCTGAAGAAGCAACATTATGTCAATGATTACTCCGTATTATCCTTGTCGTTCTTATCATTATTACGGATTGTTGTTGTTGTTGTTGTTGTTGTTGTTGTTATTATTATTATTATTATTATTATTATTATTATTATAGCCAAGGAACGTCCTCTCTACTCTTTAACTCTTTATAGGTAGAGGCGTAGAGGTAAGATTTGCCTACATACCCTCCCCAGACCCCACTCGTAGGAATACTGATACGGTATCGTATCGGGATAAAGAAGGATTTACACCTTCGAGCTATAGAATTGAGAAAAAAGAAGAGATTGAGAAAGGAGAGGGGAAGACGGCCGTTGATCGGCAAGGAGGAGAGGGGGAGTTTAGGGTTAGGAAAATATTTCTTTATTGATTGAATAATAATTTTATGAGTAATGGCTACATATATAGATGGTAGATCTAGAGAATCCTAACCATACAAGGTAACTAAATAAACCATAATACTAATAATCTAATATAATTATACCTCCTAATAAGAATATAATTATCTAACCATAAATAATAAAACTACCTATAATAATAATAGTAATATAATAATAATGGTAAATAACTAAATATAAACCCGTATCACTCTTCCCGCCTTGAAAACCAACTTGTCCTCAAGTTGGAAATCAAATAAAGAACGGGAAAAAATTACACCGTTCATCGACCATCCTCCGGGGTCAAACACCTTGATCCTTGGAGCACCAAAAGAATGTGTGGGATCCAAAGCACCATTAGTATGAAGAAAACTGCTCCATGTAACCAACGGTTGAAAAACGATGTCCTCTTGCGTAAAACATTTAGAACCACAAAAGACAATAACCTC